GTGGGGAACAGAACAGGCAGATCGACTGAAATACGCTGCTGAGGGGAGCAGGGGGCGAGTCAGGAGAGGTCTGCTGCACCATGTGGGTAGCTCCCTGGCCGGGGATCGAACTTGTGCTGCAGAGACTGTGGATAGCTTCATAGCTTGCGTCTTAACCCCTTGCATCACCAGGGAGGACCAGTACAGAAAACTTTTAAAATGAAGAGGCCACCCTTCTCTCCAAATCCCAGGCTTTCTCCCTAATAAAACCTTGTTATTTCATGATAACAATTATTACTCCTTCAAAAAAATCTAACAGATGTGGTCATTCTCTATCTCACATGTAGATTGCTATTTTCATGTGACTGTATCTTGCAGGCCTTTCCATATAATTGTAAGCAGATTCCTTTTGACATCTGCGTAGAGCTCCTTTGCAAGATGTACTGTATCTGAGTCCGTCCTACAGGCTTTGCTAAAAGATTCTTGCTACCCTGTAACCTTTATCTTGGCATACTTGGTATATTATGAAGTAAATCCCTTAAAATACAATTGTCTGTCAGAGTCTATGAATCTTATTTTTATTAGTGTACATGCTCTCTAGTGTGTGCTTATACACACACACATATTAGTCTCTGTGACTAAAATTTTGATACCTGTTTCCAAATTGCTCTCTGAGAATGCTGTGCTGTGTTCTATTCCTGGAAGAATGTAAGAATATTTATGATCATCCCTTCCCACAGACCCTGCAGACACAGGACCCACTGTATTTACACAGCACATTTTACAGCCTCCCTTTTCTGGGCATTTAAAGACTGTCATTACCCAGTGTATGATCTCCTCCCTCCTGGAGGGCCTCAAGAAGAACAGTGTTCACTGGGCTCTTAATGAGAGTGTGCAGAGCTGGGTGAGCACAGCCTGTGGCGGGCAGGCAGTCGGTGTTCCCTGTGCCCGTGAAGGTAGGCTTTCAGGAGGGAACAGTCCCTGCCTTTGTGCGCTGACTCACCTTTGCTCTTCCTGGTCCCCACCCTAGTAAACACACCAGTTAGACGCTCCACTTTGAAAATCAGTATGAGGATCCTCGAGCCAGGTGTGTCCTCCACATGAGGGACTCTTGTGTCCTGGTGCCACCACCTAGATGTGAAGGGCAAGCTAGGTCATTATGTGGATATGGGTGTACCCCACCTTCTAGAACTTGTGTGTGCATCCACTGCTTTTAATAAGCAGAAATGTCCTCAGAAAGTAAATGTAGACCTGAGAATGTCTGCACTCAATGCTGTCTGATGGGAAAGACCTTTCTCTTAGTAACAGTGGTGGGGGCGGAGAGTGACATCATCATCATCGTCATCATCAGCATCTCACTGGCATCGGCATCGTCTCTCGCTGCCTGCCCTGACCTGGGGGGTGGAGGGAGGAAGAAGGACAGGGATCGAGGTTATTTGCCTCAGAACCATAATTCATGTTCTCACAATTCTGAGACAGTAGTTTGCAATCTGCAGCCACTTTCAACCTATGCTTCTGAGGACATTGTCCTGCATTGCAAAATGCTTATCTTTCCCACTGTATTTTCTACTTAGTCCCACAGTCAGTGGCTGTGTCCCAAGGAAGGACCCTGGAAAGGACCCTGGATCGCTATGATCCAAACTCTCTTGTCCACTGTAGAAAAATCGAAAACAGTTTTTTTCTGTTTCGCTGTGGGAAACTTTTAAACTTCTCTGGCTGGGATGTGAGCCTCCAGTCCATGTTTGGCCACTAGCTTCTCCGGTCAAGTTCTCACTCTGTACTAGAACGTTCCAGGGCAGCCCTAGCCCAGCTAGGGTTCTGATCTTGTCCTCCACAACATGGGCAAGTCAGCCTTCCTCCAAAGACTGATGGTCCCCACTCTCCCCACATACCTCCTCTCACTCCTTTTCTCTTATGAATTGGGGTGATTGGTGTTCATTGTTATTCTTTGGTCAGGAGAAGAAGAGGTGAAAGGCATAATAAGGGGCAGCTAATAAGGACAGAAGTTACAATTAGAAGACCTTGGGAAATTCAGTTTTTTCATTGTAACAGAGAGATAATAATACATGGGATGGGGGGTGGTTGCCAAGACTGAATGAATATGGCTTGGATTGCCTGGGAGGGGAGAGAGATTGAGAGAGGTTGACAGAGATTGAGAGATTGAGAGAGAGGTTGATTTATGACCAATTTGATATCGTGTGCAAATAAAAAATCACTCCATTGTTTTGTTCTCTGATACGAAGAGAAGGTGAGTCATTAACAAAGACAGTTTTTTGTTTTTATTTTTAAATGATGATTTCAGTTTTGGAAATGGTCTATCATTCTGTTGCCATCTTAAACTTTAATGGGTGGAAACATCCACTAAGTCATTAAGGAGAGAGTGTAAGAAACCATGACGTTTGGGATATTTCATCATCACAGTGACTTCATTCACATCTCATCTTTGCTACTTACTGTTTTGGAGATGTTTCCTTTCATGTAGCATGGGGAATGTTAACCCCTTCCTCAGACTTGTTTGGAACAGTGAAAGGAACCAACATAAATCAAAGGACTCACAGCCTTGCAACTGCAATAGGAGGAGGAGAGGACCTTTGACACGGTGGGGTGGGACCCCGACACTGGCTGGCTTACTTTGCGAAGGCGGTTTCTATGGATCGATAGAGCATGTACACTATGACAGGGCCTTCAGTTCTTGTCCTTTGTAGAAGTTAAATAGCTTATTAACTGCTCTTCTGCTTTGTTCAAGTACAGATCTATATATATTCTCCAAAGAGAAAACATTTTTGGTTTCTTATAAGTAGCTGGATTTTTATTGGAGTTGTAAACAGATCACTGCACCCACTGGTTAGTTGCCCTGGGACTTTAGTTTTCCACGCAGAGTAACTCTTGTGGGCACTCAGAAAGAAGAGCCAAGCGGGAAAAGGAGGGTGGAGGACGAGGGGAGGAGTCACCGGGAATCTTTATCTGGTAGGAAGTAGATTGAGATCTAGTGAGTCATGTTGTGGTTAGTGCTTTCCCTCTTTTTCTTCTTTGCCATAAGAGGAAAAAGGAGTGGTGCGGTCTGAGGTAATTTTGTAGCATTGAGGCTGCATGTAGTTCTTTTTTTTTTTTTTTTTTTAAGATTTACTTATTTATTTATTTATACAAGCACTGGGTACAGTCAGAAGCGCGGGAGGGTGAGAGAATTCACCAGAGCCAGAGCGGGGAGCAGAGCAGGCAGAAGGACCGAAGTACACTGCTGAGGGGAGCAGCGGGCGGCAGGAGAGGTCTGCGTGCCATGTGGGACCCTCCTCCGGTGGCTGGAGAGCAGCCGGGGATCAAACCAGTGCCGCGGAGGCTGCGGGCAGCTTTGGAACCCAGCGCTCAACCGCTGCGCCACTGGGGAGGCCCTGCATGTAGTTCTGAGAAGGCGAAATATATCAAGTTGTCCTCTGCAAGGCAGCATGGGTGGCAAGCCTTCCAGAACCCCCTTCCGAAGCTCAAACCCATGGCCCTGGTATGCTTTTTCTAGGGTGGATGGTTTTTAACGGTTGCATTTTCCAGAGCTTCTTAGAATTTGCTCTTGTCAAAGGACTTGTGTCTCTAATGGAGAAAATTTCAAACAGTTTTTAAAGGTGAAATGTAATATGGCACCCATCGTTCTTCCTTTTACTTCCCACTTCTCTGGAAGAGCTTCCTTTTGCCTTTTCACACTCCAGCTTTGATGTCTGAGCAGGACCTTTCTAGATACCCTTATTCATAATTTTTCTCTCCTTTGCCCAAACTACCCCCAAAAGTGAACTCCCTAGAAGGGAACAGGGGACAAATATCACTAGTCCACACCAACCACACTCTGCCATTGCATAACACATCTAGTAAGAGATTGGATGTCTTGAGGGGAGGGAAATCTTTTAATACCTTGCTATCTAATATTTGCCGATTTTTCATATGTATTAGCTTTTTGGCCCCAGTGAGTACAGATTATATAATGAATATTCTTCCTCCTCTAGCCTCTTGGCAAATTCAAAATTATCTTAGATGCCCTTCAAATGGAAACTACTCCAGAAAATGATGTCAGTATCTCCCAGGACAAAGCAGTCTCCCTCCACTCTGGGAACACCTGTTTTACCTGTGTTTACCTGAGGACTGTCACTGACACATGAATCACCCCCGCCTGTATCCATCTGTCCCCAGTGTAGCCACGGTGTCCCCATTCCTCCTGACCCCAGGACTTGCATGTAGCTGAGCTTTCAGGGAAGCTCACTGAGAAATGCCGAGTAAGGGAGCTCTGCAGGCTACAGGGGCTTCAGAGGCCTCCCTGCTGTTCAGTTGTAAATGCAAGGAGTTCACCTGGGCCATGGCTGCTGTTATCCCAGGAGGCCATGGGGCCAGAATGTATGTCCATACATTCTGTCAGCACATTTAGGCTGTCCTGTCGGCTTCCTCATTAGTGTAGCAGCAACCAGTCATCAAAATGTAGCTTATCCCTTGAATGTGAATGGCCAGTATCACATTGACAGTGATAAATTGATGGAGAGAAAATAATTTAGGTGATTTGAGAACTTAACAATTTAACCTAACCATTGTGTGGTACATAATCTTTCCACTTTTGAGTTCTGTCACATAATTTTAAAACAAGTCTAGAAAGTTTCGAATGTTTTGCTTGTTTTCACTGATAAATTCCACAAAACAGTAAAGTTGAAGAACTCATCAGAGACCATTGATCATTGATCATTTTATATCCTAGATCCTGTTTGATATTTTGCATATGTTATTGAATCCCCACTGCCGCTCTATGGACTGAGTCTCATTTCTTGTATTATACAAAGGAGAAAAGAGAAGCATTTAAGTGACACATTAAGCTTAGGTGACTTTTCCTCACTTCGCTTGGTCTGTACGTAGAAATGAGTCCAGGTCTATTGGTGGCAAAATCTTGGTTCTACTGCATTTGATATGAGGACTATTTGGAAAACTAATGGCATTTTTACCTTATTCCAGGATAAAGTAAACTATCCTAATAATGCTGTGTTTTGTGTTTGCAGGGAAGCAAAGGTGCCTACCGGTACCACTGGCAGAGCCACAATGTCAAGCACAGTGGTGTAGATGACATGGTCCTACTTTCTAAGATCACAGAGAACGCCATCGTGGAGAATCTAAAGAAGAGATACATGGACGACTATATTTTTGTATCCTTTATTGGTTTCTGTGGACAGTTCTGTAGAGGATGACAACATCTGTGCTAAAATGTGGCTTTACTCATAGGGTAAGATGATCCACCTGAAGTTCTGAACATGACATTTTCACCATTTCAGAATGTGGCATTGTACTTTTTTTGTCATTTGGTTCAGAAAGGGCACGGATGATGCTAAATTATTTTCCTGACATTTCACAAAATCAAGATGCCTCCAGTATTCATTTACTTGAATCAATGGCCCGGCACTATGAATGTGCTCTAGCCAGGCACATGGTGTCTGAAGCCTCTGCTGTTCCTAGAGAAAGTCCAGATCTGCAGAGTTCTATCGATAGTGCTCCCTAATTGCAAAACAGAGGCAGTTAAGCCCAGACTTAAAAGGTTTCAAAAAGATTTCCTCATGCAAAAAATATGCGATTTTGTCAGTTTTTCTGCATTCTTATGTTTACTGAAGGAAACACGAGCAGTGAAGATCAACTATTGAGCATGCCTGACATTCTTGACTCGTTCTTTATGTTTCAATTTTAGCTTGCCAGATGCTATTTTTTATAGGGCTTTTCAGAATTCAGAATGGAAATTGGATTCAAATGTGTGTCGACTTCATTATGAACAGAATTGATATTTGCCTAAGTTCCTGCAGGATTCAGGAATTTTGTTTGGTACAGCTATAGAAATTTCTTCTAGTGGAGTTATTATAAAGTTGGTCTCAAAGATCTGTGATGCTCTTGGTGATTTCTGAAGCTTTGGTGTTATGGACCATTAAAGATGGAGTCTTTGTAGCCCTTATGACATAAACTTGAGGTTTTAACTCAGAGGTCTTGGGGAGGAATAGTTTTCACGCCAGGAGGAATACTTTTGCATCAGTAACTTCTGTTCTTGACACTGTTCATTTGAGCATTAGGCAATACTACATTTGCAGGGACTGCTTATCTCATCACTGCTGAGGGAGCTAGTTGTCTAGCAATATGAATAACATTACTCCAAGGCGCTTGGATGATCCTGACCAATGCTGGGCTGTTTCTTAATTACAATCCTGACCAATGCTGTGCTGTTTCTTAATTACAATAGGAACTTATACCAAATATCTGGGTGGTTAGATCCCTAATCCTCTGTACCTGAGGGATAAAAGAAATATTTGAATTTGTTAGCTACATTATAATAGCATTTTGCCCAGGAGTGGCAGCCTTCTGCATACAGACAAAATCCTGCCTACCACCCACTTTGTAACAAAGGTTATATAGGAGCACAGTTGTGCTTGTTCTTACTGTCTATGGCTGTTCTCATTCCACAATGGCAGAGTGCAGCAGTTGCAACAGACCACATGACCCCCAAAGGCCCCAAATAGTTACTTTCTGGTCATTTATGGAAAACAGATTGCTGACTCCCCTTCTAAGTATCTGTGCAGGGCTTCCTTTAATTGTAGGAAAGTAGTTGTATTCAGTTCTAAGTATTTTGTTTGGTAAAAAGTTGAAATATGCTCACTTTATCTGGATTTATTGTCTAATCATTTTTAGGTGCATGATCCATGGCATATGGGCATTGGGGGGTGATAGACCGGAAAGAGCTGGGGGGTGGCAGGTTGTGGCTGTGGACCCCCTGCCTTCAAACCTTATTCACTGGGCTTGTTGACCTTAGTTTTGTGATCTGTATGCCTAGGTTTGTTTTCCTGCAAAATGGGAGTGATAATAAAATCTCCCACACGAGACTATTGTAGGAAAAATGAAAAAAAAAAAAAAAAGAATGCAGTGAGCATTAGTTATCATCATCATACAGTAAGGCAAGTAAGTTCCTCCCATATTTCTGAGTTATGTTCCAAAAATTCAATTGTAAAGTTGCTTATTGGAAATTTAAATGCATTTTACCATAGAAACTGTTTTAAATGGAGGATTGGTTTATTGACAAGCCCATAAAAGGCCAATTTCCACTGAATCCAGTTGAACAAATGATTTATTTGACTGTTCTTGGACTGAGCTTATTACATTATTTACATAGAAACATGGTTTTTTGATAAACTGGTTAAGAAAAGAAAAAGATGGTATCAGCGGTTATCAGCCCCTAGTCCATGGTCAAACCAGACGAACTAATTTCTCCCACAAAAAATAGCTTAGTCTTAAAACACCAGAAATTCCTCCTCAAGGCCAGCAACTATGTCTTCTAGCTCTAAATAACAACAACAATAACAACAACAAAAAAAAAACCAACACAAAATGACAAACAAAACCCCAGTGTAAAAAATTTTCAAAGCCACACATACTAAACTTAACATGGTTTATAAAATGCATGGTTTATAAAAGCAGAAAGGAGAACATTAAGTCACCTGGAATTCTACATTATAGGCTTAATGCCTATTAACCTCTTGTTATACTTTTCAACTCAATATCATAGATATGTATATATAATACTGTTAGTGTAAAATTTAATAAAAACAGTATCATGTACTTATTGTCCTGCTTAATTCTTGGTATGGTGCATTGTATTAAGTGTGCTTTGAAAATTTGTTGACTGTGAAGACTTGCTTTTTAGATTCAGACAGCAGGATTTTTAAATGACTCCCACAGAGGGAATTGATTCTGAGCCTCTCAATTAATGCCTTTGAATCAATGACTGACTAATCGTGTGTTCTCCCAAGGAAATGAGTTAGCTGACCACTAATGACTTTGTGTTTTAGAAATCCCTCTCCACATCAGTGTGCTTTCCGTCAGTAGCACAGAGAAGCTTTCAGCTTTGAGGAAATTTGTTGGCTCTGTTGGATGTTTATGAAATAATAGCAAGGGTCTAACTGAGAATCTTTTCCTCTAATAAGTGATAAAAGCCTCCTTTATCAGCTTAGTGTTAAGGGAATATTTTTTATGTTAGAGTAGCATTATTTTAAATGAGTCTTTCTCTCCCTCTCTCCTAAGCTTAATAGTCAAGGCAAAAAGAGATTTGATTTCACATTAAATTATAAAGTTGTGCATTTTGCCTCTTTTACGTCTAATCCCAGCACATTGTCTTGTAGTGAAGGTCAGCATTTGGAATAATCAATTTTTAATGCTTTCAGGCTGAATGCACATTTCTGTGTTCTTTATTAGAGAAACAATTTTTCACTTAGAAAATGCTAACATTGTTTAATTTACCAAGCGCTTTTTCTGAATGTTACCATACTTCTTACAATTCTATTCTAAAATGCATAAGGAGGACATTGCAGTGTTCATTCTTGTGCTTGGCGAGACATTCTTTATAGCCAGTTGGCTGATGAAAATTGTTCCTGTCCAAAACACTCCATGCACATTTGGTCCAACTTTTCCAAACTTGTTTTTACTACTAGACCACACTCCAAAGTGTTTGGCATTTTCAGTCCTTGAATTAGGAGTTCAGACTTTTTGCCAGGCTGACCGAAAATGAGTGCAGTTGTTCTGAATGAGGTCTGACCTTGGCCATCAGGTCCCTTAAGCTCATTGTAGTAAGATGAGCTCTGGCCCCACAGTCTGGGGCTCTGGGGCCATTACAATGTGCTCCACAAACGTGGCTTCCGGCAAGTTCCTTCTCTGCTGTGCACCACCTCAGGGTTAAGTCCAGGAACACTGACTAGATCAGTGTGGGTGGTTCTGGGGAAGTCACTGCCTTTTTTTTTTAAGTTAAACTTTAAGCTTTGCCAAATAAGACCATTCCAAGCAAACTTACAGAAGCAGCACTATCATTAGATTTCATTTAAAAAAGGCTATTTTAACATTAATATGTAGAAAGAGAATAATTTAAGTATAATGGACAGTCCTTTATGTTTAGTAAATTGAGCTTTATGAAAAATTCAGGGCATTGTTTTCTCTTTTTGTCATTTTTGCGGCAAATGAGTGAAAATGCAGTTCCACAGACAAGGATGTGGAAACCAACCAAAGGTCTGTTGGGTCCCTTCTGTCTCACACATGCTATTAAATAAGCTGGTATTTTTTTCTTTTTTGTTTGGTATCTCCATTCATCTTGAAAATTAACCATGGGCCACACCTTCCCAGCCAAAGGTGATGTGGGTTGAGACAATGATCAGCACAGCTTTTCCCAAAGGCGCACCTGAATTATGTAGTAGGGAGTGGGAGTAAGTATTTGAGTTATCTGGGGAAGTGTCCCAACCCTGTGGGACAGCTGTGCTCTCAGGGAAGTAGCAGAGGGCTCTGCAGACCCAGCCAGATGGAAAAAAAAAAGATGGGTGGTTAAAGAAACAATTAGCCAAATTCTCACGTGAAATAACCGAAATGTCAAATGTCTTTGAAGTGCTAGATTCTTTTGTCTCAGTTCTTATGATTTAGGTAAGTTCATAACAACTTAGTAAAAATATGGGCTACATTTTCCATTTTAAACCAAACTTATTTTTCAGGTATCCTCCCAAATATGATTGTCCTTGTGAACCCTACAGAGAAATGTAGGGAACAACTAATTACCATTGAGTGAGGACTGGCCTACAATAGTCTAAAAGAGGTTTTTTCTCTGTTTCTTTACCAGGCTCTTACCAAATATATATAGTCTACCCAGTGAAAAATCAATACTTCTTAGGGTATTTCTTCTTCACATAACAGAAATAATAATAATAATAATAATAATAAATGTCTCTATAGGAGCTGTTGGTGTAACCCAATTCATATTTATTGGGTAACCAAGCATTGGTGAGGAGGCTCGAACTTTGGTTCTTTCTTTAGGCAGCTCTTTATTCTCTATGCAGTTTAGTTTGTCCAAGACAGGTGACATTAATGGCATTCACTTAGAACTAAGGGAAGAAACACCCTCCTCCAAGGAAAGATCTTTTTTGTCCCATTTTTTTTTTTGAAAGCTGGTATTGGTAATGTCCTCTGGTCACCTGTAAATAAATCAAACTTGTTTTTCACTAATATCTGGCAAATAAGGACAGTTGGAAAGCCTCACTTATGTGGGTGAATGCAGTGATGTGAAATTATATTTATATATTTTTTAAAGATTGATTTATTTATTTATGCAAGAACCGGGATACAGGCGAGATGCACGGGAGGGTAAGAGGAGTCACCAGAGACAGAGTGGGGAACAGAACAGGCAGACTGATGAAACACACTGCTAAGGGGAGCCGCGGGCGCGACAGGAGAGGTCTGCTGTGCCATGTGGGACCCTTGCCAGCCAGCCAGGATTGAACTGGCGCTGCAGAGGCTGCGGACAGCTTCACAGCACGGTGCTCAACCACCTGTGCCACCAGGGGAGGCCCATGAAATTATATTTTTGAAAATTTTCAAGATAGAAACTGTGACTCAGTGAAAATAATTACTATTTGATTTATTTCAAGAAAACATTTTTTTTTTAAAGTGTGACCCAAGTTTTGTTTTTTTACCTAGAGATAAATGTAGACATAGAAATCTCCTTTTCTGAAATGAGGATGTTCCTAACAAGGTTGTATTTAGAAGTAGGTTTGCCATTAGAATCATTCTGTTAGTTTAGCCACCCCTCATTCATTGCGTTTTGACATGGTCCCTACGATGGGGAAAGGATAATTAGAGGAGACAGAGTTTTGAGTACTCAAAGAATCACAGATCTAAGTTACAAGAGACCATAAAGGTCTCTAATTGAAACCCCCTCCACCCTTACTAGATTCTAGTTCTGCCAATTTAGGATTGCCAAATAAAGTACAGGGTATCGGGTTAAATCGAATTCTAGATAAGTAACAAATAATATTTTAATATAAGTATGTGCCAAGTGTTGCTTGGGACATTTATTTGGGATAGGTGTATATATATGCAGAAATTATTCATTGTTCATCTGAACTTGAAATTTAACTGGGTGCTCTGTATTTGATTTGGTAAATCTGTCAACTCTGCTAATAATAACAATAACAGTTGCAGCAGCAGCAATAACAGCAGCAATTCCTGCTAATCTTAAACATTATAGCTTATTGATTGAAAGTATGGGCTCTGGATCCAGACTGCCTGGGCTTGAATCAGAGCCCTACCACATAGTAGCTCATGACTTTAAGCAAGTCTTAAAATTTCTCTATGCCTCTGTTTCTTCATAGTAAAATGGGATTAAAACAGTAAGGAGGTTGACATTAGGGGCTTATTTTAGTACCATGTAGGCATGTGTGTGTTTTATTTTCACTATGAGGGCAGTGAGTTTTATCTCTTCTACTTTGTTCATGGCGTATCCCCAAAATCTAGAATAATACCTTCCATGTTTAGATACCCAATTCAAATGAGTTGATTATTGAATGAATAAATGGTAATATTTTAAAGCTACTGATAAAATAGCATTTCACAGTTATTTGGATATGGTAGCACAATCTTTTATGAGAAATCTTCCTAGATTCCCCACACAGAAATAATACTTTCTTCCCCAAAACCTGATCTATGTGTGTTTGTATAATATCTTATGGAAACAACTTGGTTCCCCTAAGCTTCTGAAGGCAGAACTATTCAGTTCAGTTTGTATCCCTCTATTTGTTAAATGGTTAAATATGTTTTTAGCATAGCTAAAAGATAGAGTTCCAAAGAAAAAATACCATTTGAGGTGGATGATTACTGCTATTTCCAGGACTTGGTCATTTCTGTTTTGCTTTGTTTTCCTAGCAGTAAAGTATTAACAGTCTTGAATGAATGTGCTTCAATTCATTAAAAATAATGATTTCTTTCTGCAGCACCTTAGTAATTATGCTCATTACTCTTAGTGGCTTAGTGAGGAACAAAACGTGAGCAGTTGATAATTGCTTTTGTCTTTATTTTTAATCTTTTAGAAAATAAGTACATGAGCTTTTTATTTAGATGATCATTATGAATTCTTCATAATATCTGCTTACTTAATTAGAAAAATATGTGGCTATGCAGATTAATGATGGACCTTAACTGGATATAAATTCAGACATACATAGGATCGGTATTAATCTCAGTCAACCCTTTCAAGCAGATGCCATATTTTGGGGAAAAGGAAATTGAAATGTACCAAGGAGCGGTAAGTTACATGCTGTATAAATTACTGTTGTGTTTAGAGATTTTATAATGCATAAGTAGTTAGTTTTTCTCGAAGTTGGCAATACATTTGCATTTTCTTATTATGAATTATTTATTGGGGAAGCTCAAGTAGGTGACATTGTTTGATTTTTAATGATGTATTGCTTGCTCTATAGAGTACAGTTCAAAAAAAGCTTAGGTATATCTAATATTTGTATATATATTATACAAGAACAGGGGCACAGGCCAGATATGTGGGACGGCGAGAGGATTCACCCAAGACAGAGGGGGAAACAGAACAGGCAGACTGACTGAAATACACTGCTGAGTGGAGCAGCGGGCATGACAGGAGAGGTCTGCCGTGCCATGTGGCCATCTCCGTGGCCAGCGGGGATTGAACCGGCACTGCAGAGGCTGCAGACAGCCTCACAGTGCTACGCTCAACCGCCTGCGCCACCAAGGAGGCCCTGTATATTTTATCTAACAGGCAAAATTAGTTAATTAGGATGTAGAATATGCAGCTTGGGGATCTTCCTCTATCCATATATGCCACAAATGTAAAGATTTAAAAAAAAAACAATAATGGGTGAAAATCAAATGTGGTGATTGGCACCATTCTCTCAGAATCAGAACCTTAGGTAGGCTGTGGTCAAGACTGAAACATGGAAAGTGAGTCTTTTTTCTTTTATTACTTCACTTATTAATGGAACCTGGTCCCTGTTCAAACCCTGCTCTATAGCCAGTTCAGTTGTGTGATAAAATTACAAGCTGTAATCCTAACTCATCTATTTCATTATGTGGTTCATCACTTTCCTAGGCCTCCCTCCTATCTCTGCATTTTTTTCCTTCCCTCCTTCCTTTGCAGCAGAGGCACAAGAGCATTCATTAATCCTGACCCCTGGAAAACAAACAAAAGAGAGCCCACACAAATTCATCAGTTGAAGTGGAAGGCAATTTACCCAGAGCAAGAGCCCACCCCATTGTTGCCAGATGAATGGCGCTGGTTGCTGGAGCCGAAGGAGGCTGCCACGCGAAAGACCTTTGATAATGCTGCCTTTATGGGAGCCCAGCACAAGGGGAACACTGTCAGAGAGGCTGGGCCCTGCCCGGCACTCTTAGCAGCAGGGCCTCGAGGCAGCAGGCCCAGAGCTGGCTTGGCATCCTCAGTGCCAGCCAAGTTGGGGTAATGCAAGTGCTATGCATTCATGGTGTTTCTTACCAGTTCTGTGAAAAGCACTGCTACATGAGTCTCCTTAGAGTGTTCATCTTTTGAAGAACTCTCTTTAATGTGCTAGAGTATCTTTTTAATTGTCATTTTTTTCTATCGAGATTAACATTGGTTTTATAGCACTGTATATGATTTAGGGGTATAGAGATGTTCACCTCTTCAGATGTAGGTTATACCGCACCACATGGGTGCGGTATAACCACCAAAACACCCTTCATCCTCTAGAATTTTTTAAAATAGATCTATTTTGGGCCTCCCTAGGGGTGCAAGGGGTTAAAGACACAGCACCATCAAGCTATCCCAGACACTGCAGCCCCAGTTCCATCTGTGGCCGCCCTGGGAGCTGACCCATATGGCACAGCAGACCTCTCCTGTCTCACCTGCTGCTCCCCTCAGCAGTGTGTTTCAGTAGATCTGCCTGTTTTGCTCCCCGCTCTCCCACCCACTGCACATCTGGCTTACACCCCAGTTCTTGTATGCATAAATAAATCTTTTTTTTAAAAAAAGATCTATTTTTACTGCTAATGGTGACACTATTGTGAAATTGGTATTACTGAGAGCCAGGTACCAGGTTCACTTGTTAGCCATGCAGCAGCCCTGGAAGCTGGCTGTGTAATACATATCCAGCCCTCTTCACAAATGAGGGAACAGATGCCAAGACAGGTAAAAGCACACAAATCTATTGAGTGCTGGAGTCAGAAGTTAAAGATAGGTCTTTCAGGTTGAGGATTTGTCTACCATGTAATTCTCACACACAGCTGAGAGGTCCAATGAGATCGTAGATGGGAAACCACTTTGAAGAAGGAATAAAAGGTTACGCGCAATAAGTTAAGCAGCTTTGAAGCCTTACTGGTCAATGATTTGCCCACATCTTCCTCTCCACTCGATATCCTCTCATTTTTCCATCCTGTTTTCTTTATTTCCCTGTTTTCAGAGAGATATTAAATATAGCCCTGCATCAAGAGTCTGGGTTAGATGAAAGCCATGTGGGATTATATTGTGAGAGCCCATCCATGTAGCCTCTTCCGACTGCCTGGTGAGGGCACGGTGACATATTACTGTGGCATCCCGTGTGGAGGGAGTCACCTCGTTGACCAGTCACAGCACTAGCCTCCAGTCTCCACAGGGCTCTGTGCTCACAGCATGGGGGGAACAGAGGAAGGGGGACAGCTGGCTATGCTAGTCCTTATTGGGTGTGCAGGTACCAGCGCTCCTCTCATCCCCTGTCACCACTGACCTCTGAGCTGTCAATCAAATTGAAATGAGTGGCAATTTTTCCTCCAGACCCCATTTTCTGAAATCAGCATATAAGGCTCAAGGCTGCATGAAGTCACTAATGCTTGACCTATATCTATTACTCTGCCTTTTCAAATTGCTTTCCCATCCATCCATCCATCTTCTCAGTTAGCTTGTGAGATTTGTAACATAGGCACCATCAAATTTAAGGAGTGCCTTTTCTCACTTTATGCTACATGAAGTACTTTTCTCTTTAGTAATTTTTGAGGGAGTGGTAGAGATGGATGCCAAGACACTGAGTAAAGCAGGACCAAAGTCATTCCGACTCAGGGAGTTTATGGAGAACTTATTTTATACTTTATTATATACTCATTTCATAGCTAAGGCATCCCATGAGACAAAAGCACCAGCCCCAGAGACTAGCTTGGTGTGGTAGGATTTATTTTTCCCCAATAGAAGTGAATCAAACTGGTCAAACCAGTTTGTCTCTTCAAAGAACCACACCTCCTGCTCTCTCACAGAAGCTTTTGCATTTTGCTCTTCATTCATAGTCTCAATTTCCTCTGGGAACCCAGAATCTGAAACATGCCTCTTGAAAAAAAATTTCCATAGGAATTCAGAATTCTAGTAAAAGTCAGATCCAGGTTATTAGCAGGCCTCTCTTTAGACCTGTTGCCCAACTTTCTCCAAAAACACTCCAAACACTTAGGTGTTTGGGTGGAAGGGTGTGGTGCTGGACTCTGAAGACGCAGTCATGTCTGAAGGCTGACTCACATGTAAGCCTGTGGAAGAGTTCTTGCATATTCCATCTTCATTTTGTTAGCTGTAACTCCATATATAACCCTTGAGATGTACTTATAGGCAATGGAACTATTCAGTGGTAAATTCCCTTCCAAGGCCAAGAAAAGTGACTATCTGACCAAAGTTTCTTTTGTGTTTGCATTTCTAGGCACAGTATGAGAACCCACCACATATCTATGCTCTTGCAGATAATATGTACAGAAACATGATCATTGACAGAGAGAACCAGTGCGTCATCATCAGGTATGGGAACAAGCATTATTATGCATGGAGAACAGGCCACAGTGTCGTATTTGGAGCAGAGTTTTAGCCATCATTGCTGCTATCAGAGGCCAGTTCACGTAACTGAGTAACAAGCCAAGTCTTGGCTGGTTTTATAACTCCAAATCATAATATATCCCTGCCACATAAGGGATTAAGATTGTTGGGTGCACAGTGCTAGCCAGATCTTTCTCTGATCATAACTGGCCTTTAACTAAAATAGTAAAACATCTCCCCTCCCATTCTATCTTACCATGGCTTACCCAAATTGGAGATCTTTTATGTCTTTTATGTCATAAGTATAATAAGTATGTTTCTGTTTTGTCAGCTGGAATCCTTTTTTCTAAGTTCCTCTTTTTTTCTTTCTCTAATAATGTAGTAGTTCAAGTTTGAGCTTTTTTGTTTGATTTTCTCATTTGCTTTTAATTTTCTGAGGGCATTGCTAATAAACACCAGCATTAAATATCTAGCTACATTTCAGAATCATTTTTAACTTGACACAGCTCTGAGTCGTTGCTTGGTTTAAGTGCTTTTGCAATTTTGTTTACTGTTATGAACATTTTCAAACATACCAGCATCTATATTCCTATCACTTAGAACATAACAGTTAACACGTTGTAATATCTGCATTCATTCATTAAATTTATGTAATGTTTTATTTGAAAAAAAAATTTTTACCAACACTTCCAAAAATTCACAAAATTAGAAACAATATTATATAATAAGCGCTGGCATTCCGTTGTATATTAATACATGACTGATCCCATTTTACTTAGTCTTCCCATCAATTTAATCATCCACACTTGATTAAATAAAATACATCATTTCATTTGTCAATAATTTATGTGTACCTTATCACACGTAAAAGGGAATTATTCTCTTACCATCTATTATTATCAATATTCTGATTCCATGAAATTTTACATATTTTTTTGTAATTAGTTTGTTTTTATTTTGGTTCCAAACAAGTCTCACATATTGCACTTGGTTGTTAGAGTCCCAGAAATCATAATCATTAACAAACCTCTCTTACTCTTGCTTTCTTGGCATTTTTTTCTTAAGGAAAAAAGTGTTTTTTGTTTTTGTTTTTTTTTTGTGGGACCCTCGCCGGCAGCCGGGGAATGAACTGGCGCTGCAGAGGCTGCGGGCAGCCTCACAGCCCAGCGATCAACCGCTGTGCCACCAGGGGAGGCCCAGGAAGAAAGTGTTTTCATGCAGAACTTTCTGCAGCCAGGACTTAGCTGATTATATATATGGTGACATTTTAGTGACTCCTATATTTCCTGTAAATTAGTACTGTTGTGATTAAGACAGGAGAGTGTGTATACCTTCGAATTGGTATTTTTGCATTCTTTGGATAAATACCAAGGAGTAAAATTGCTGAATAATATGGTAGCTCTATTTTTAATATTTTGAGGAAACACCTTATTGATTTTCATAAGGACTGGATCAGTCTACGTTCCCACCAACAGTGAATGAGGGTACCCTTTTCTCCACTCCTTTGACAATTCTTGTAGCTTCTGGGTTTTTTGATATGGGCCATCCGCATGGGAGTAAGGTGTTATCTCATTGCAGTAATTAAAAGCTTGATCTGGTTCATATTAATTTTTTTTTTTTTTTGGAAAAAATGCTTCATTGATGATAACTGTGCACTTAGTGCCTATTGGTCTGTTTCTTTATAATGTTCAAATTGCCATTGTGTCCATACATTATAAATTCCATTTCATGGTCATTGTTTAATGGTTGGGAAATATTTATTTTTTTATTCTGTCAGTCCTACCTTTATTAATCAGTGTTCTTCTATTTGCTTACCTTAAAATATAAGCCATATAAGAAGGCTTGATGCTTTGTCTTGACTTCCAATACAAGGAGTTGATACCCTAGCAGCCCCCCCTAAGGTAATATGTTCTTATTTTCAGTGTCATTCTAGTAGATCTTAAATATCTTACCTGTTTAGCCCCAGTGTAGATTTTCTTTGGGGTGCAAATGTTCCTAAGACATTTTGGCATGACCCAAGTGGTCTTTGATAGTTTCCTTGTTTAAGATGTTCCAGGCTCATTTCTGCTAAGACCTGGAATCAGTCAAAAGCCCTGGTTCATATTAATGGGAGGTGGTATTTAGAGACTACAGATCCGGTCCCTAAGGATGGGCACTGCCATCTGTTATCTTTGTCTCTAATTCTTTTCAGACGATAAAGGCAAGGAATATGAACTTTTTAAAGAAAAAAATTAAATGTAAATTCAAACTAATAATTTCCAGTTCACTCTTAGGATTGCGGGGCTTTTACTTCCTGGATTTTTATACTTGTGTCCCATTTCTGTTATGTTGAAAATTTTGGTTCCTGATGATGTCGCAATTATTTTCTCTATGTGGTGTATACAAAAATGAAAGTATCCATAAATAAGCATATATGTGTATATATGTACTTATAAACATAGGTGTATATTTATAAATTTAGGTCTATAAATGTGTTAATGTGTTATTTATTATTACATATGTAATACATATATAGAAAAGCTACAATATATGAACTGGCGATTGTATTGCCAACCAGGGGAGTTTGCCTGAAACTTTGGTGTGCAGAATGTTTACTTGGACTTGATCACACACTGCCTGTGTGTTGACCTTTAGTCTCCAGTCCCTCCTGAAGGCTTCAGCTAATACCAGCAACCTCCAGTTCCTTGAGGCCAGAACTTGTATGGTGTTTTCCAAAGCCCTCAGGTAAACAAAGACCTCCCAGGCAGGACAGTCCCAAGCCTAGAGATTACCTCCCAATAGCAGAGAGCAAAAGCCAACCTCTCTTACCCAAGAGCAGTGGTGGTCTGCTTTGAGAAAGTGATTTGCTGTCCCTGGTGTGCTGTAATTCACTCTCACCAGCTCTGTGATTCTGGGCAGCAAACATAACACTGATCTGGGCCTCTGTTCCTTCTTTTTTGGATGAACTGATGGACCAGATGACCTCGGAGGTCTCTCCAATTTGGGAACATTTTTCTCCCAATATTTCTAGAGGGAAAGGAAGGTAGGAAAATGCTTTTCTGGGCATACAGGCCCAAGTTTGCTGACAGAGGAACTGCTGGTGCTTATTCAGGTGGGGACTGAGTGCATTTGTGAACAGAAAATGGACAAAATCCATTTTCCTGGGAGCTGGAAAAGAAACTTGTTTCTTATGCTAAGGCATCTGTCAAAGCTGAAAAGAATAGGGACTTTTAGTATCACTTAATTAGAAAAGCAAAAATTAATGATGGCCCAATCCCTGTGGTGTTCTTTTAGACCTCCACTCACCAGTGCCCCTGGTGTGAGCTTGTCTGATGAGGAAATGCACCCTCTCCTGATGGGCTACTTACTGCAGGACACAAAGGCGGCATTATAGTTTCCTCTCAACCTTACTAAAGAAGTGGATATGGTGCCAGGATGAACTGCTGACTGTTTCTGGACTAGAAATCAGTGCAACAAATTGAATCTAAAAAGAAAGAAATCAAGGAAGGAGACTGGCTTCTTTCTCTAGCACAGACCTCCATCAAAGTCTTAGTCCTGGATTTTGGCACAGCTGCCAACTTGACTTGTTGAAAGAGCTAGACTTGAGCAGCCTCAGTAGACTGACTGGCCAACCAGACCCACAAATGAGTGTGATTCAGACCCTAACTCATGATTTTCATAAGGAGAATTCTTCCTCTGGACAGATCTGTTGATTTTGCCCTAGAACACAGTCTAAGAGAGGCACCAGATGACCATTAGAGGTTTGGGTTTGAGCAGAGAGATCGTCATATTTTGGCTAGTGCCATTAGGTTATAACCCCCACGTTTGTTTCCCTGGGGGCGAACCATCATTTCTATTCCTTATTTTCTTGTCCTGCCTCCATGTTAACCAATTCCCTTTTATTGACCTACACTTCCTCCTGCCAACCCCTGCCATCTGTTAGGTTAAATTCTGGTCAGGAATAAACACCCAGGCTTTTGCCTTAGATTTTCTCCAAGTTTTCCCAACAGCCCACTGGCTCACAGGTCAGGGAGACTGGCTTCTGTAGGTGCTGATTTCTTCCACCAGGCCTTCTGTTCACTAAGTCAACCTTCCAGGGACAAATAGTTCCAATTCCTAGATCACTCTAGTAATTCAGTGATTGTACAGATATCTATACTACATACTCAGAGATCCTGTCTTAACTGATTTATGGTGGGCCTAGGGCATCAATATCTTTTTTTCAAACTCCCTAATTTATTCTAGTTCAAAACCAAAGCTAAGCCTCCCCAAAACCTAATTCCCGCTGACCTCTTGCCTTTAGCACCATTAGTCCATGCAAGCTCTGCTTCTGAGTGCCTGCCCTCTGCTGAGTGCTTTCCATACAGGTCATCCCTTTTTATCCTCATAACAGCTCTGGATGTTTGGTGTTATTATTTCTTGAACTTCAACCAGAGTGAGGCTTAAAAGAATTCTAATTACCTTAAATTAGCAAATGACAGAGCCTCTATTTGAACTTAGCCTTGTCTGATCAAACCTTGTACACTTTCTCTACACCAAACTGGGGACATCTCTTTGTGTCCCAGATGTCCCACATTTCAATGGAAGGTTTAATACTGAGGTGGGGGTGGGGGGGTGGGGGACTGAGGGGGGTTTGTCCTAGACTTGAGCTCCTAGGATAAAAGTACCCCCAGACACAGATGCTTTTTTTTCCCCCCCAAACCCAGTTCTTTCTTTGTTGTTGGCCATGATGCTCCCTGCCACCCAGGGGTCGTTGTTGTGCTTGGCGTCACTTGGAACACAGACGGTCAGCACACAGGCAGACTTAACGAAATAGCATAGTCTTATTGATATGTTGATCCATGTTTATTTATACAATAGATGGCCGTGCCTGGGCATTTCTTTATCTTTCTTGACCTGACATTCCCAGACATGGGCCAGGGTATTATGGATGTTTGTTGTATTTGGTGCATTCTGTCACAGAAGCCCTCATTAACTGCGGAAACCAGTAGTTTCCCATTTACAGA